CCCCCCCCCCCCCCGGTCTTACATTGAGTTCTCTGTCTTCTTCCCTTTTGTTTTCTAGTTTGATGATGCAAGCATGTCCTGGGATTAGTTTTTTTCACTTGTGATACTTGTTTGAATAAGCACTGCATGTAGTGCAGATACGGAGTGTATGATGGGAAGGGAGTTTGTATGTCATCCAGTTCTGTTTAGCTAGTGTCCTAAGGCATTCCCAGTAGATTTTATGTTTTCTTGAAAATCTTTATAAAGGCAGTTTTGCTCTGTAGACAGCTTTGTTCATACTGCGTGGTTAAAAATTAGGTATTTCTAAACCCCGTTCCCTAAAACATGGCTGCTTGCCCTGCCCTTGGTAAAGATAGTGAACACCGGTTGTCCATTGTTTTGAGAACTTAATATTACTAAGTGTGTTAGTATTTTCTTCCCCATTCCTTAAATTAGCTTAACGGTCCTCTGGATCCCTGGTTCCTTTATTTTTTTTTTATAAAGTTGCTACAGATTCCCTTAAGTGTGTTTTCAGATTCATGTTCATGTTTTTCATTGGCTTCTGGATTTCCTTAAATGCTATGATTACTAGTGCCGAGTTAGTGGACATAATATGTCAAGGAGTTTTGTTTGACAGGTAATCTGTCTGAGCTTGTATAATTTAAATCAGTGGTAATTTTATGATTGTTTACAAGTGAACCTGGATCAAAGTAGAGAAAAATGATCCAACCTGAATTGTTCTTAGATTTGATCATAAAACATGCCTGTTTTGACTCTAAGAGCCAAAGGACTGATAACATCTAACTGCCTTTTTCTGCAGCCTTGGTAATCACTCATACTTGATTGAAGTACATTCTTCCACATGTTTGCATGCTAAGTTTAAATGTACTATATCTGTGGGTGTCAGCTTCTGTTAGATATTACTTTATGACAAGTGTATGATAAAAGGCAAAACCCAAAATATCTAAAATACTCAGCTCTTCCCTAGAGTAAAATCAGGCAGATGGGGAAAATCAAGTTGAGAGCATAAAGTAGCTTACATTCACAAATTTATACTTTGTTTCCTTTATACAGTTCTCAATGATACATATATTTTTTTTAAAAAAAGAATTGGGTATCTGTGGCAAAATTAAGGGGAAATACATTTTCTACCCGGTATTGCAATATGTGCATTTTTCATCACTCTGTTGTTGTTGTTCAGTCGCACAGTCGAGTCCGACTCTTCGCGACCCCATGGACAAGATCTCGCCAGGCCCTCCTGTTTTCCGCCGTCCTCTGAAGTTTGCTCAATTTCATGTTCGTTGCATCTATGACACTGTCTAACCATCTCATCCTTTGCCGTCCCCGTCTTCTTTGACCTTCAATCTTTCCCAGCATCAGGGTCTTCTCCAGTGAGTGCTCCCTTCTCATTTGGTGGCCAAAATATTTGAGCTTCAGTTTCATTCTCTGGCCTTCCAGGGAACAGTCAGGGTTGGTTTCTTTTAGGATTGACTGATTTGATCTTCTTGCAGTCCAAGGGACTCTCAAGAGTCTTCTCCAGCACCATAGTTCAAAAGAATCTATTCTTTGGCGCTCGGCCTTCCTTATAGTCCAACTCTCGCAGCCATACATGACTACTGGGAATACCATTGCTTTGACCATGCGGACTTTTGTTGGCAGGGTGATGTCTCTACTTTTTATCATGCTGTTTAGGTTCACCATCACTTTCCTCCCAAGTTTCATATATGTATGTTAATGTCTTGTTATGTCTTTTTGTGTGTTTGAAAAACCAATAAATATATATATTAAAAAAGGAAGAACTAAAAACAAATAGCATGGCACCAGCACTTTCTGCCATTAGAGTGGTATTGTCTGCATATCTGAGGTTGTTGTTCTTTTCCCCAGCAATCTTAATTCCCGCTTGTGATTCATCCAGTCTAGCATTTCGCATGATGTACTCTGCATATATATTAAATAAGCAAGGTGACAGTATACATCCTTGTCGTACTCCTTTTTATATATATATAATCATCCTTGTCGTACTTCTTTTCCTATGCTAAACCAATAAGTTGTTCCATATCCGGTTCTAACTGTTGCTTCTTGACCCTTATACAGGTTTCTCAAGAGACATGTGAGGTGGTATGGTACTCCCATCTCTTTAAGGACCTGCCATAGTTTGTTGTGATCTACACAGTCAAAGGCTTTAGCATAGTCAATGAAGCAGAAGTAGATGTTTTTCTGGTACTCTCTTGCTTTCTCCATAATCCAGCGAATGTTGGCAGTTTGATCTCTAGTTCCTCTACCTCTTCGAAACCCAGCTTGTACTTCTGGCAGTTCTCTATCACTATCACTCTATCACTGTCTATAACTCTGTATGAAGTAGCAAATAACAACTTAATTGGTTAGAAAGGTACCTTGGAAATTACTAGATGAATCATGAATAAACTTAAATTCTTTTGCTTCTGTAAAGAAGCAGATTATTTATCACAATGCAGAAGGCTGCTTGATTATCTTTGAGTTCTTTGTCAGATGCCTGTGCATGCCACACAATGAGCTGCTTTTTAAGAAGGAAATCTTAAAACTATTTTCCACTGACGAGGAACCAAGACGTTGTGCAAGGTTGGGGGAAGGAGAGAATGAGAAGTAGAAGAAGAGGGTTTTTTTTGATTATCTGAGAAGTATGAGGTTTTTTGATAAATGAAGTGTGTTCTTAAGCCTTTATCTGGAGGTGAGATTTGGCATCAACCACCAAAAGCTAAGATGAGTTAAAACCATTTTCAGAAGAAGCAGAGGGTTTGACAAATCTCTGGAAGGGGAGAGTTCCTTTATAGTGGAGTGGCCATTTGAAACATTTATCTGTGCTCATAACAGCAAATAACAACTTAATTGGTTTGCAGAGTGATATAATACATTAGAAATTAAAATTCTGGGAAAGACAAAATGATTCTAGTAGATATGCTGTGTATTCCTTTTATGATTCCATTGATATTTGCAATATGCTGTCACTTTCCTGAATTGTTTACATAAACCTATGCTTCATAATTTGTTTACAGTGATGTTGAGTGGTGTCTTGTGTGTGTGTATCAACCAGCATAGTTTTCTAACACCAGATAGAATGCTGTTCAATGTTCAAAGAGTGCAAGAAGACAGAATTCCTTCTGTCAAATTAATGCAAAAATCCATTGGATAAGTCAGTAGACGTTATTTCTACTTGGTAGATGAACAAATAACTTGGAGAGCCATTCAGTGATTCTTGGGCTGATATGGAATCAAACTCTTCAGTACTCTGTGCACTTGACTCTTTGGATATTTCTGCCATGTAAATAATAAAAAAGTGCTGGTTGTCCACCTCTTCTCCACATATTTTGTATACTGAGCATATTTATTAATCTTATTACCTTTCCCTTCTTCTTCCAGGAATGCATTTTTAATTTTTTTCCATTAGGAGGGGAATAAGGGAGAGTATCACTGTCAGCCATGAGTAGTCTCCATAGCTAAATGCTACTTTAGTAAATACAGAGATGGCTGCAGATTTTTGTGTTCTCAGTAGCCTTAATGTGAATACAAGATGTGGGGAGATTCCTTTTCATTTCCATATTAAATCAGACACCATGCTTTGCCAGTTTCACTCTTGCTACAGAAGAAGCAGTTTGCCACCCAAGCACTGTTTTTTGCAGGCACATTACAGTAGTAGATTTTTAGGGCACAGTTACATTGAATGTTGTTGTTGTCGTCTTGATTTAGATGCAAACTGTGAAGTCATGCAGATGTGCTCTTCTACCTACCCAGGTGTTTTTTAATGACTAGTTTAAATGCTCTTCCAAAGATGTCTAATACATTGTTTGCATAATTAGAAGATATCATGTGCATACACACAGTGTAACAGTTGAAGAGGCTTCCTTGGGAGGTGGTGGGCTCTCCTTTGGAGGTTTTTAAGCAGAGGCTAGATGGCCATCTGACAGCAATGCTGATTGTGTGAACTTAGGCAGATCATGAGAGGGAGGGCAGGAGGGTTGCCTCAGTGCTTAGTTCTTGTGGCCCTTTCTTACATGCCCAGGAAATGCTGATCACCACTTTGGGGACCAGAATCTATTTTTCTCCAGGCCAGTTTGGCTGGGGATCCTGGAGGACTTTTGTCATCTTCTGGGCATGGAACAGGGGTCACTGGGGGTGTGGGGGCAGGTATTTGTGAATTTGCTGAATTGTGCAGGGGGTTGGACTAGGTGACCCTCAAGGTCCCTTCCAACTCCATGATTCTAAATGCACATTTTAGGAAATGTATTGAACTAAGTCAGGAG